CACAAAGTTTAATATCTTATTCATTATGCTCAAATGACAACTTTGAAAATAGAATGTAAGAATGACGAGGTTCAAAGGGAAAAAAAGGTAAGTTCCTATAAGTTGTCAATAGTTTGAAAACAAAATGATTGATGGGATATTTCAGTGAAAATAACACATTCGATCAAGTGATACTGAAGTATTTTAAAAGTATTCACATAGTGAGGATGTAGGATTTGAGATTTCGGATATTTAAAAGCACATGTACAATGCAAATTTTCAAAACATAAATGAGCTGTCAGGAAAGTAAAACAAATAAAAAAGCAATTAATTATAATTCAGAAGGTACGCAAAATATTAGGAGGAAATAAGAGATTTGACAAATTATGCTATTAGAATTAAAATGTAGTTACTGAAATTATCGTTTCAGTTATAAAGAAACCTAAGTGCATATCAGAATAGAAAATTTTCCTTTATCGATCAAGTCACCATAAGAGTGTTTTCGCTCAGTTATCTTTGTTCATCGAGATTACATCAAAAAAGTGCTCTCTTGCATATCATTCATAGATAAATTTTCAAAAGAAACTATTCAGAAAGCCATAAGTAAGTAAATGGGGCACAATCCACTACGAATTTCAACAAAAATGAAAAATAAATTGATCTTTAACCGTGAATTATTTTGGAAAACACGACCACTGGGGGTTTTAATTCTGAATTCATACGGTTTCCTGATATGTAGAAAGTAAACATACTAATAACTCCAACCATGGATGTGAATCATTCTCCATATTATGCTATGATCTGGTAGATAGTGAACACTTTTTACCAGCTAGTAACCATCTTATTCATCATGACTTATCAGATTCATGTGAATTCACTAACACAATAAGTAATGATAGTCTAACTGGAAAGAGACCAAACTTGTAAGATTCCGCCTCTCCTTTCAATAATGTCCTACCTACTATTCGCTTACAATGTCATCGCAATGATGGTAACAAATTTAACTTTGGATTCCGACAAATGATATGCACTTTTTGTATTAATTTGAGTAATAGACTATTGAGATGAAAAGATGGGTTGCCAGTGGTCTTCCAGTTGCAGATTGCTTTATAGACAGCTAAGAAAATAACACTTCACTATGGACGTTTGAGAGTTTTCATCAGTTTAAAAGACACACTGCTGTAACATTTATTGTGTCATAGAGATACTGACGTCAAAGTTATAATGAACGAATTCAACATCGGACACAATTCAATAAGGTTCACATCATAATCCAAGGCCATTTAAAATTATAATTTACAAGATTCAAACTGAGAATGAAATCGGATAGGTTTTTTCTGAAAACACTTTGAAATAAGCCAATATGAATTGACCTATACACGAATTTTCGCATTTGGATACCCTTCAGTAGAAAGAGAAATCTAAAACGTTACTTAAATTCAAGAATTTTCAGGATTCACGCCCGAGATACAAGTGACAATTAAAAGGAATGCTTACTGTAGATGCTAATCGAAAACGGGTAACCCACAATGTTCACTGTTAAAGTGTGGACGCAAAGCAACACTTCACCTATCTTTGGAAATAACTTCCTAGTTATCATATCAATGATATCACTCCCCCCGTATTATTCACTAGTAGACTACTGTACGTTCCAGTGAATAAAAAAACAGTTGTACAGCCTGTGAAAGAAATTTTTTTCCGTTAAATATTCTTTAGTTACTGAGAGATTAAAAGACTAATTAAAACTTGATTTGCATCCACAGAGGGAATTATGATGAAAGCTTTTTATGAAGCATTAGGAAAGATCAAATTAAAATCTTGTATGCAAAGAGTATTTACCAGTCGGACTCTTTTCTCTTCAGACAATGTGTGAGGATGCTCTACTGTAAATTCTTTTCCATTTTGTTTCATAGACCAATGCAAGTAATTAGTTGATTCGTTGAAAAGTTTTCACCTTGTTGCTGCATTGGTTCTTGTTGATTTTTTCATTTTTCTCCTGTGTATGTTTCATAAGAAAGCTTTAAAAGTACTCATTCTTTTTAAATAACTTTTTGCCATGTCCAGTTGCCTTTCACTTGATTCAGCATGCACAAGTTTTCTTGATTTCTGGCCAGAAGAAGGGAAATAATTTTAGAGGAGTACTATGATACAGAGTAGTTGGTGACTGTCAGTAGGAAGGTCTGGACCTAGATCTCCCTCTTTCTAGAACTCATCAGAGCATTGTATCTATAGCCTGATGCGCTTTGCCGACGCTAGCAGACAAGCCGAAGGACCAGGCCCAATGTTTATTACTGGTTGCCTTAAAATATCTAACATCATTTTGAAAGGTATTACCTTCCTATTACCTTTCAAACATTGAAGTATGAAATGTTATTATTTGTAACCATTGTAATTTCAGGTAGTTTGCAGCTGATGAGAATCTGTGAAATAGAATGATATCATTTTATACTGCAAATCTGGTTTTTATTTCTCTATTGAAAATCAACATTGTAAGAAAAAGTGGACAACTACTTATTTCTGAATGGATTGATTAGATTTTAATTAGCCTTGTTAGTTTACTGATACCTTAAAAGTCAACTTTATTTATAAATTCTTAAATAGTCGTTTAATCTGTTTGTCTATATCCTCTTCTTTCTATGAATATATATTTAAGTGCAAGCTTACCACTGTTTCATGAGATTGTATTTGCTCAGTTCTTTGTGTAGCACCTACTTTTATAATTTCTAGAGAAAAATACTTCCTTTCAATTAGTTAAGACAGGTAAATACTGCTCTTTGAATTTTTCAATTAGCGAGCCGTTTAAAACAACCGACAAAATAAAAAATGGCTACCATATTTCCTTGCTCAAATTATGCTTGTCCTACAAATGTATCGTCTTTTATTAATTATACGTAATGTAGTCTCCAGACAAGCACCAAATTGTCTTCCAGTGTCATAAGGGAAGTCAAACCATTTGACTATCAACTAAAGCGTAGACCATAATAACTGGCCATAAAAATAAACTATTATTATGCAACTACTTTTAGAAAAAAAGTATTACTTGTTCATAGTAAATTTCTAGCCTATTTAAAATTTCTTTTTTGAGTTTTCGAATTTTTCTGCCACTATTCCATCCTGTTGACAAATGAGCTCAAAGTTTACAATAAGCTACTAAAGCTTTAAAAAAACTACTATGAATTAAAAGGGTAGTTAAGAACGGAAAATGAAACAAAACTGGTTACCAAATGAATTTTGGTAGTCTAGGAAGTAGTTTCAATAAATATAATATGGTTATTCAGGGACAGTAAGTTTAAAATATTCGATTTGATCTTAGTTTAAAAAAGAATCATTCTTGTTTAGGATAAATAATAAGTATGAATTTGAATAAGGCAGGAACAACACTTTTTGCCGAATAAAATGGTACCATCATTTATTTCGTTGTCTTCTCGAAAAGATGCTGAGAAAAAGTTACTCTCAAAGGTTCATGAACAAGTACGGAATATCTGAAGGCCCGAATGTCAAATAAATCACAGTGGGAAAAAAGCCAACTCTATTCAACTTGATTTTAAACGTGAAAATATTACAGCAGTTGTCAACAGGAATTGAGGACGTCACTAGCCAGATCCTATCATGCAACTAAGCTGGTTCCCGTCCATCGAACAACATGCTCTTTGGTGCAATCAAAATTCGACAGATATCCTTTTCATGTTAACTCCATCTATGTATACAAATTGACATATATCTGCAGCAACAATTACATTGGAATAACAGAGAGAAGGGCATACCTCCGATTTTTATGAACATATACCGAAAAGCCTATGTCTAGAGGGAACAAATGTTTTAAACAGTGCCTTGTGCCAGGCCTCTCCTTGACACGGGTCATGAGCTGGACGTCGCAAGATCGTTCAAAATTACCAACAGGCAAAAGAGTTCAGTTCTCCTTAAGTGTGTCGACTGAAACTCGATTAATGCGTTAGGAAAGAAACAGTTATCAGGCTTTCGTTGTCCTGATAACTGGATGTTTTCATCCTCTCTTTCGTCTAATTACGCAACACCGAAAGATTCCATTGTGTATGATTACTGTTGTTTGAGATAAAGTGATTATTAACATTATCACTGAATGCACATACTGATTTTTTATGTTTAGAAATGAACTCTGTGCAAGTATGTTAAAACAATTTCTGTAGATAAACTTAATAGTGTCTTTGGGCTGTAAGTAGCTGATGAGAAGCCACCGAAATTAGTGATGGTACCATTTTATTCTGCACAAACTGTTGTTCTTTTTTATTCACATTCATAAAGGGGAATAAATGTATGAAATAAGTATGAGGCTTTTTATAGTTAGGAGTGAATTGATTCCTAAGTAGTGATGTTAGGTCTCACCTTTGTATTTACCTTTTCTGATGTTCGTATGAGATTCTTTGGTCAGAGGCACCAATTTCTCAGTGTTTTTTCTGTTTCTACATGCAACTCAGTAACTATTATAGGCGACATACGTATTATTTTTAGAAATAATAAACCTTAATTTTTAGTGTGTACGTATAGGGTAGTCATTTATGGTATTTTCTTCTGTAAGGCAGTAGTTTAGCTCAAAAGACCATCTTAGGGCCCATATCTCTGTGATGTTGGTAATGTCCTACATATCACCTTACATACATCAACATATGTGGTCGACCAAGTGTTAGTATTATGGTCAGCATTTTCCCCCTATAATGTAAGTGTGGAGATGTGTTGCTGAAGCCCCATGTTCCACTCAGAACCCAAGGGAATAATAATATAATAATAAGTGTAAATGTGGAGTCTGGGCACTGCAGTGGGATGCAATTTCATATTACATAACTTATCTAACATGGAGTTACTTCCTTCCATAGTCACCTGATTAGAATATAGACTTGCAATAAGTATTTGATGTACTTACTGGGATGACTATTAGAATCATCCCCTTAAATTTTATCAAGCAGTGGAATCAAATATGCAATAAAGAGATGTACTTTTCACTTCCCACTTGTGAAAAAAGAGAAATCAAAAAACAAACAAACAGAGAAATCAGTAGGATATTTAAGTTCAAATAAAACACAGCTCCGATTATCTTTTTTTTGTTTGCGTTTACAGCTTATCCTAATATATAAAGAGAAAATAAGTTGAGTATAATTCATAAATAAAAATTACATATAATCTCTGTTTTTGTCTACCTCTAATTCTAAATAATGAAATGAAAATTGTTTAAACTCAGTTTCTTGGGCCATGAAATAAGATTGATTGTAGCAGTATATAATAATGAGAAGAAGAACAACAATAGGAATAATGGTAGAGGGAAACGAGGGTGATAGAGTTCTTCTGACTAAAAATGACGATCCAGCGCCTCAAGATATTTTGAATCAATGGCTTTGGGTATAAGTGTATGTCTGAAAGAGAAAAAAACAGTAGTATGAACTGTAAGTATGCTGTCATTTTGGAGAAAATATAATCTAAGTTAGCTAAATTGTGTTCGTATTAACAAACATTTCTCAGTAATTTTCATTTTTTACACAATGGTTCACTTAGGAATATTAATACAGTTTAGGTTACTTTATAACTGACCTGTGTCGGTTGAAACCTTATTTATAAATAAACGAATAATTTGTAGTACAACACAGTACTGTTACCATTATTCATCCGTTGGGTTCCTAGTGGGATATAGAGCTTTAGCAGCCCATCCTTATTACACTAGAGTCTCTGGTATCACTTTCGACTGACTTCATGACTCCTCACAAGCTTCCATTTCTTTCTCACATAATATTCTCCATGTCACTATTGAAATGACACCAAACCAGTCGTTTTACATTTGGTTTCATTCGAGGATTTGAAGGTCTCCCCAGAGTCTGTGGGACAGCGATTAGGACGCTCGCCGTCAGCCAACGCACATCTGCTTTCAATGGTCAGCCTGCTAAATTTGGGTTACCAATATCATATGCTGAAAATTCCATAATTGTACCAAAATACTGTGTGGAATCAAGCTATAATAAATGATAAATATATATTAATCTTCTTCTGCATATTTATTAGGCGATAGGTTGTTAACTGGTTCACTGATGGCTAGAATTCCTTGTTATAAATATACTCTCCTGCGGGCTATCCGATCTTCAGAATCATCCTGGCGAGTGCGGCTGTCAACGAATGTCTTCAGCTTGGCGGAATTGCTTTCCGTGAACAGTGCGTCAAATTTCTGAACCATAAAGGAACTATGACTTGACACAGGACCTGACAATTTGGATCTTGTTCCTTGTGCTGAAAGTTATAGATCTCAAAATTTCTGTCTTTTTTCCTAATCCTAGCTGACTTTAACACCTTCATCGGTGCCGCCTACAGTTGAAACAGTGCTGACCAGATAGATGACTAGGACACTTCTTTTAGATTTTCCTGTTGATGGTGATTGATGTTTGCTGTTGTTGGTGGGAAAGTTTTATAACCTCTGTCTTCTTGTATTCGCCTTCTCTTCTGCCAAGCTATTGGATTATACTTGTAAGTCTTCGACTCTGTGCAACATAAATTTTTCTAGGGTCTTTCTGTCTGTCAAAAGTAAACCCGTCTTCTCGCTGCCACTGGTTTGTTGCATGATGCAGTCCACCACAGTCAGGAAGGTAATCAGTGATAGTAAACAGCCTTTTCTTACTCATGTCCCCTCTTCAAAAGCTTCTGTAAGGTTTTCGCTCTGTTTCGCTTCGCATGTGGCATGATCACCAGCTAGCTATTGAATAAGGTTATAAATGTCTGTGGCACTGCACTCCGTAGTGTTGAAGCAGTTTCCAAATTACTTCACGACCGGCACTACTGTAGACCTTTTTAAATTCGAAGCAGTCGAAAAAAACAGAAATGACTGCAATTCCAGGCTGTAATCGATGCTGATGCGTTGTTTCGTAGTTTAGTTGGCGCATAATTTGTTCTCCTTGAATCCAGGCGATTCCGGGCAGAGTTTTCCACCTAGATTACGTTTTAATCCAGCGTGATGCAGCCTAGTGTTTTCCTTGGGATGACGAGGAGTGTGATTCTGTCCCAATTTTCGCAAAGTCTCTAGTCTCCTTTCTTTGGCAGTTTGACCCTTTTCTCAGTTGGTGAGTACCTACCGTTCCCTCCAGTCTTTCTGGAGTAGGGATGTGAGCACATCCTCTGGATCCATGTTTGGGGCTCCTGGGGTATTCCAAATGGTTCTGCTGCCTTCCTGACTATAAGTAAGCTGACAGTTCTAAAGAATACTGTTTTATGTGAGCCAAGTTGTTTACTCGCGATTCTCTGACTACTGACGGTATTTCTGGTTGAGCTGTAGGCGATGATCGATTTAGTTTTTCGAAATGATCAGCTCAGAGTTTGTTTTGTTCAACTTCCTGCAGTTAGCTGGACGATTCTAAGCCCGGAAAAAGAGAAAAGGTGAGACATGAAGCCAGCTACCGCACCTGGAAGAAAATGACACAACTGCGATGGAAACTTCAAATTGCGGAAAAATACAACCCAGCAGATTTGTATCAATCTGCAGTGTTTGGTTTTACAAACAAACGGAAGTGTCAAGATAGTCTTCAGAAAGTACTGAGTGGCTACTTCTTCTCAAACTGAAATTTGGCTTCATATTCACTTTTAATCTATTAAAAGTGGAAAGTATCAACATTAATTCTCTTAGTCACTGGATATACTTATCACAATTCGTAAAATAGCAGTTCACAATTGTTTTCAGGATTTCACCTTGAAAGTAAATCAGATAGAGAACAATTGGAAGGCCTGGGAGTACTGGATAGCTGTCTTGTCTTATTTTGGGACTCTTCATCATCGAGCCGAGGACCTTCTGGTTACAAGACTAACGAGCTTGTAGACCATTATGCCAATGGGAACCGATCTAATGGTCCAAGAATTCCAACTTCTGCCAATTGTAGTTAATTTGTTATGCAATGTATCTACTTAACAGTGTCAAAGAAAACAATTTCAGTAAAACATTAGTAGCTAACATAACACGTGCTTATGTTAGTGCATCATTAAGAAAGGTGGAAATATTCCATGAAAGCAGAAAGACTGAGCGAAGAAATATTTACTTTTCAATTAGATCCTAATATCTGCTATATATATATATATGTATATATATAGCATTTTTATTACATTACACAATCTACCAATCAAGTGGCTGAAGCAAGGGGAATCCACCCGGAGAAGCCAAACCTGTGTGTTCAGTAGAAATTTGTACAGCCACTTTCCTTACCTTGGCCATCGTTACATGACCTTCAAAAATTATAATTGTCCAAATTATTTTATTTATTTTTCTAACTACTTTATCTTTAATTACATTTGAATAAGACATTAAGAAAACAAATTTCGCGAGATGACATCATTTTGTAGTTTCTTTACAACCGCTTTACAACCAACATGGTTAACAATAATGAAATAAAGATCATGACAATTACGCAGTTAATTAAAAAAACAACTAAAGTACACACTAATGACCAATCATATTTAGATAGGTCATATTGTCCATGGTAGGCGAAGATTGAAGTCTATTTTTTTTGTACACACAGTTTAGGCTGTATGTGATTAATCCAAAGTGCTTCCAACACCTTCAATAACCTTGAATTAGAGTTATGTAAAATAATTGTGAAACAGTCATTAATACTGATTTTGTGACTTGAGATTAATAAGTGTTTTGCAATGGATGATGCTGGATTTCTATTCAGATTAATCGCGTTGGGTTTTTCTATATGATTTAGTAGCCATTTTGGGACATGTTCTTTTCGACGACATTGCAACATCCTGTTGGTTCTACCTAAATATAGATGTCACCGCAGCTGCAGGTGAACTTGTAGGTACAGTTTGAAGTAGAGTCCACAGAATTTGGTGCTTTTATCGTAGGTACAGGGATCGAAAATGTTCGGCAAATGAGAAAAAGAGATGTGGCGTAGAATGTGATGGTGATGGAAGCACTTTGGATTAATCACATACAGCCTAAACTGTGTGTAAAAAAAAAATAGACTTCAATCTTCGCCTACCATGGACAATATGACCTATCTAAATATGATTGGTCATTAGTGTGTACTTTAGTTGTTTTTTTAATTAACTGCGTAATTGTCATGAACTTTATTTCATTATTGTTAACCATGTTAGTTGTAAAGCGGTTGTAAAGAAACTACGAAATGATGTCATCTCGCGAAATTTGTCTTCTAAATGCCTAATTCAAATTTATCTGAGGGACTAATTGTTTTAACTTTAATTACATGTTATCTTTGCAAAATTATTTTATTCTTTTAACCACTTCAGCCTTAGTAACAAGTTATCATCGTCCAAATCATTTTCTTTTCTTTAACGATCTGTTACGTAATCAACCTGTTCACACGCTTATTCCTTAATTACTCTTCATTTTTCCAGAATTATGCATTACGCAATCCATGTCTTACAATCATTGCTACCTTTTAATTGTGTGTATTAATTTTCTTTCTTAATTATCACACCAGTGACACGTTGATACTGATTAATTATTGTTGTGTATTGTAATAAGAATTCTATATAAATTAGAGGAAGGCCAGAGATGAGGATCTAATTGAAAAGTAAATATTTCTTCACTCAATCTTTCTGCTTTCTAAATGTCTAAATGGGGATTTTTTCAATATTCAATGAAAGATGATATCAGATGTTTTAATTCTCAACAATGTTGTCAAAGAACGATTAACAGAAAATCTTCAGATCTTTTAGAAAATTATTTGATGTATTTCCAGTTTTCATGAATCTGTCAGTTAGCTGATAGTCGTTTTGGTGATGAATGAGCAGAAATCAGTTAAATTAAAGATGTATCATCAATTTTTTAGGTTTTGTAATAAAGCCGTGTTGTCTAGCAGCTGCCCAGTAAAAGCTGCACATGTTTTAATGGGAAATTATAAGTCACTTTGGTTTTTATGTAGTAAGCAATAAATTAAGGTCTGCTGGATGACAACTAATTGTTTGGAGGCAAATGATACTTTTGCTTTGTAAACGTTATGCTTCATTTCAGGTTTCTGGATATTCAGATCTCATCCTTCATGAACGAAGTTTCAGAATAAGCATGCAGATGGAGATATTAATTTTCCTGCTGATATTGGAGTTAAACTTTGTCTGTGGTTTTGCATTTATCAGCTTTATTGACAAAAATTCACTTCTCTTGAAATTTAAGACGTTTAATGATTGGGCGCTTTCCACTGTACTACTGAATCGCAAATAAGCAACAGCTAATAACCACTACAAAATAGGTTGCGTTTATAGCTCAGCAACTTAGTGGACAAATGTATAAAGCGTTTTATGATGAAGAGGTATTTACGTATACGTAGCGAAGTTTCATGAGACTTGAGAATGTTACTTGCAAAATCGCACTTGCTGTCAAGCACGCAAATGATGAATAGCATCACGAGGACACCAATGACTTCAAAATAATTCATGCATTCATTGTTTCCATTACTTGTTTATTTATGTTTGAATGAATTATGTTTTTCCGTGGTCATAGACGCTTGAAGGCTTTTGAATTGCCGATTTTTAGGTAGCACAAACGATGACATTTTATCTCAGTAGGATTGACTGTTTTCAAATCATAACAGTGCTGTTCAGTCAAACAGACTGAAAACCATACTTAAAGTAGACCGAACGAATATAGATAATTACATGGACGATGCAGTCATGAAAGGTGAGCAGAAAGTACAAGTGACTGACATTTATGAGTGCCTTTCACAGTGATCAGTAAGTATATCACTTGTTTAGCCTAAACTGCTCCAAGGAAATCCGACCCTTACAACTGGAACAGTTTTTCTGTACTCGAATTAGGCCTTTCAGTTTACTGAACAATGATTATTGATCTTCACTTACTCATTATCCAATGGTACATCATTTTAAATATTAAAAAGATTTCTACAGAAACATATTTTGTTTTTTGCACAAAATTTCTCTTACCTTAGGACTATTTGTACAACAAGTATAACAGGGAATATTAATTTCACATATGGACTGGGAGCAAATCCGAATGCACAAAGAAATCCTAACTGGACCAGTTGAAAAAACGTGAATAGGTGAAGTTTCCTTTGAGGTACTCTTCTTATGTAATGAGATGGTGGGTAGGCTGACTAAAATATGAGAAAAGAATAATCAAAAAAAGGAAATAAAACTAACAGTAATTGCCGTTTTAACAAAAGCATTCAACATACAATGGTAAAAATGAAGGTTGTAAAATGCTTACTCAATGGTAAATAGATAATAAATTTTACTGGTTAGGATAAAAAGCTTTGACGTCTTGAATATTTAGTTTCTTCATTATTCATAATACTGTGAATTTTGCTACTAAAAATTAACATGCAATACAATTATGCAAAGTGAAGAAATGAATCTACAGTCAACTGATAGCACCCTTTGGGAAAAAAGACTGAAAGTAAACAAGAAAAATGATAAAATAACCAGAAGAAAAAGAAATGCACTTGTAACGAAAGCGGAATGTCAATAGTGTATCCATTAATTAGGTTGGTTTATGTTTTACAAGATTTAACCACCTTACTTAGTAATTTTCTAAACCACTTATATTATCTGTTCACGTCACTGTTGCCGTCCACAATATCTATTTCACAGCTTATTTACCGCCATTAATGTTTCCACCAGGTGGTATTCATTACTTTCCATATCAGTAGGAACAATAAAATACGTCAGTGAAATCTCAATTACCAATTACCAATGCTCAATAAAATACTTAAAGATCCATTGAAAGAATTTCAGATATGAAGGGAGAGGTGTTTTTCAATCCATCAATAGTTAACTGGTTACATTTATTTTAGAAATGTTTCATTGGCTTCATACATGTTCCTGAAATGTTACACTGAACAGAGGTAATTGAAGCGAATTGAAAAGCGGTGCTCTAAATAATATGGTGGGACACCTTTGAAAGAAGTTAGTATGCAGATATTTCGAAGATAAGGTAGACTTGCTCTGTTTCACAGGTTTTCTACTGCTTCTTACAATGCAGTTTTTTTTAAACTAGTGCACACGGAATAAAAGTAAGTGTCATATTGCAACATTATTTTATTCACAAGATAAATTCTTGGATTACAGTGTACTAATTGATCACGAAAGATGAATATACGAAATAGAGAATAGCCAAATGATAAAGTAGAGTTTCTCTATGAACTAATTTAGAATAATCCTAGAGCATTTAGAAAATGAAAACAAGAATTTTCCGAACGCTTCGTTATGTAAGTCAGAGTTACTTTGGCAGAACTGCTGGGATTTTATTAAAAATTAAAAATTATATATATAGTCAGATAGCGTATGAAATGAATTGAAGTTGTACAAAGGTCGTTTTGTAGGTGAACATATGTACATAGTGACTAAATGTGACTATTAATTAAGTAGAAGGTTTAAAGATGAATTTCATATAGCAAGTGAATATTATCGAGAAAACAAAAATAAACAAAAGAACTTTATGACAATATAAGTGAACGGTAAGAACAGTGGTTAGTGTGAGGTTTATCATATAAACTTTCTATATAGAACGGATGAGTTGCAACGGGTGACAGAGGAAAGAGATGGACATCCCGGATATTGCTTATCTAGAAATCTTGACTGACTTCGACTATCTTTTCTAAGTGAATTTGGTGTCTGATATTTTTGTGCTTGTAAATGCTTTCTTTGTAGACGTTGATTTCCTGTGATATGCTAAAACAATCCGGTAAGTTTTGTTAACTCAATTCTTGCAGTGCATTTGCTGACACATGACTAAAGTATTTCTCTGTTTTGTATGATCTAATGAGTATTTTGTATTGTATAGTGGTGTCAGTCTAGCTTTATGCATATGAAAAGTAAAAAGGCTTTTGCAATCGAATTAAATTAACAAAGAAACTGTGTAACTGGCACAATCATCGTGTTTTCACTCTCCGTTGTCTGCAACAGAATGCATATCCTAAATTCGTAGCTGTCGAGTCACCTGACAACTCCAGTAGGTCGAATAAAGCAGCTCAATCTTCAGAAAGAATGCAAAGTAATAAGTCCGACAAGGTGCTTCTACTAAACTCTAATCCTAAACACCATAATTTTGAAAATACGTCTAATCATAAAATTCTAGATAATAACAGTTTGAACAGACATGAAGGCGTGATGTTAGCTGATGCATAAGAAATTCTTATTAATAAATAAAAAATGCATATGTATCACTAATTATTAATACTTGGTCAAAATTCTCGACTGTCCATATCTTCTTATGGAAACGTTAAGAAATGTTTTACAACTGTATACCCACACACACATACACACTCTGTTTAAGGTGTTTAACAAAGGTAGACCAATATTTGTAAGTCCGAGGTCAAATTTTGAGCACAGCTCATAAAATTTTATTTGTTACACTTGTTGAATGACTCATGATTGGACAAAGTTTTTAAAAACAAGTGTTGTTCCTTTTATATATAAACCCCTATTATGTTAATTTCGATTAATTTCCCTGAAGAAGTTCGGACCAGATTGCCGAACGAAACGTTGGAATTACTCATTTCAATTTCGCTGAGACTTTACAAATATAATTTTTTCACAAATGTCTACTTCTCACTCGGCGCCTAAACTATGTTATCGCTGGACGTAACATCACTATTTACCAACGTCCCCCTTGTAGAAACTGTCGACTACATATGTGAGCAACTCGTAGAGAAGAAAATAGAAATCGGAAACACATTAAGAAAATTGAAAGAATTACTACTAAAATGCACTATGAACGTCCAATTTGTATTTAATAAGGAGTATTACCGCCAAATAGATGGGGTCGCTATGGGTTCTCCCCTTGGCTCCTTATTAGCTGACATATTCCTATTCAAATTGGAAAATGGTCCTTTAAAAGAGATACTAAACAAACTTGATTATTATTGCCGATATGTTGACGATACCTTTATCATTTGTAACAATAATCAAGATAGACAACACCTGCTCCAAGTCTTCAATAAGGTACACCCAGTTATTAAATTCACTTGTGAAGAGCAACTCCAAGGTAGTATTCCATTTCTGGCTGTTCTTCTTACAAAGAGAACAGACGGTACCTTAAAGCGTAACATCTATAGGAAAGCCACCTGGAATGGACAATATACCCACTTCCATAGCTTCATACCTATACAATATAAGCGCAACCTAATTCGTTGTCTTAGTCATAGAATTAGGCGCATATGTACGGACGACTGCATTGAAGATGAAATAAAAAATCTCACAAACGCCTTGCTACAGAACGACTATCCTACCAACTTCGTAAAGAAGTATATCAATGAAACTACACACAAAACTAAGCGAGACACAGTAAGTAAGAAAAAGCTTTACTTAAATTTACAATTCAAAGGCGATATATCCAGCGATATATTAAACCGTAGATTAACGAGAGCTGTTGAAAGAACTTTCAGTGCCGCAAAACTGCATGTCACTTTCTCAACCAAACCGATATTGATACTGTGCATTAAAGATAGACTACCCAAAATGACGACATCAATGTATGTATATAAATTCAACTGCTCCTGTGGAGCTAGTTATATAGGTCGTACCCAAAGGAATTTATCTTTACGCACCCGTGAACATATCCCGGTCTGGCTTGGGTAAAGAGCGACCAAATCATTAAATAGTGCAATTCTGGCTCATCTAGTGGATAGCGAACACAGCATCAAAGTAGATGAGTCATTTACAGCTGTGTATCGAGTACCAAACAATCTCCCCAAAGGCACACGATTACGCCTCCTAGCCATAGCTGAGGCTTTAAAGATTAATAGAGAAAGACCAGACTTATATGTGCAGAAAAAACTTATTCACTCTCTCTGTCTACCCTGGCCCACTATAAGGTCACCAGGATCATAATTTTCCGTATTATTATTTACCGTTATTATCGTTCTGTGATATCATGTCTTTATTATCCATTTCTCCACCCAGTTTATTTCACCTCATTGTTACCCTTAATTTTGTCAACCTTTGTGATTTTACACTGAGCCTACCAACTCTGTAACATCTTATTACAATTTACTATTCAGCCTCTTTATTTTATCATTAGACATTATCAGTCAGCCCTCACATTCAGTGTCTCCTTTGTTAATGTGTGTTTGTGTGCATTTTGTGTCTATTGCATTTCTCTCACCCCAATGACACTTGTATTCTGTTGACTATAAAACAGCACTATATCACCCAATTGTTCATTCACACTTCATCACAGTTTTCTGACTATACACCCTATACACATTTGATTGATTATGTTAACTAATGGACTACCATCTCAACTTACACATGCACCCCAATACAGTTTCTGATATTATTTTCATTTGCCTTTATTGGCTATATGTACTCTATTATTCATGGATTTATAACTGTAGAGCCTGAAGAAGAAGTTATCGAAAACAACTGATGAACAATTAGATTAGATCAAAGTTAAATAAATAAGAACACACGTAAGGTAGGTGCATTTTTATCGTATTTCCTTCTTCTTCTTACGTCTTTCTGACTATTGCATTTCTAGGTGAAAATTTTTACAGTATTCACTATGAAAATATATCAAAGTTAATACAATGAGAATAATCATTAAACAAAGAAACCAAACAACTCAGTTTACTGCTATCGAGAAAAATAACAATAATGCTTAGTACACAGTAGAAAAACTCACTTGTTCTGTGATGAAAAGTAGTATTCTTTCAAACATTTGATTATCTTGCAGCGCAGTTATAGCCATATAAACAAACAGTCCGTTCAATACAGGAGGTGGTATGTAAATCAACGGAATAGGTATCATCGCCAGCGATAGCCCAATAAGTATGTGTGATATAATCAGTGTTAATCTTGTTTCACGTACCCGAATAATGCTAGGAAATATTAATTGCAAGAGGGCGAATAATGTTTACAGCTTTTCACTTTATCTATTGACAAAATACGCTTAGTTGTTTAAAGCGTAAATCTGAGGGCATAAATTTAAAGTTGTAAAAATTGCATCTAGTTTATATTAGCTGAAGATTAGACTATAAGAAAGTTGACCGAATCAACCGTTACATTCACACTTAAAAACTATGATGTAAATCCCTTCTTGCAAGAAGAGAAGATTAAAATTTTGTATAATAATAAGTTTGAAGCTAGGGTTTATCAGTTTCTCAGCTAATATTTACACTGGTGATATAAATAATCTTCATTTAGCTAGGCACAGTTTCAGATATCATCTGAAATTTAGTGTAAGTGTAGAACTTGGGCACTGTAGTAGAATGTAATTCCATAATAGATAAGTTTATTTTAAATACTGTATTGCTGGGTGATATTTAAAATAAACTTATCTAATATGGAATCATTTGAACCGTTGTATATATTAATCTAATATAATAAAGTTAATTTGCTAAATAAACACAATAGTTAACCGACTAATTAGATTATTTCTTCAGACAATGTATTTTACACATTGGGTAGTTCAGTCAATGTAGGAACATACATCCAGAGTCAATAGTCTTTACTTCCACTACTGCTTTAGATCGATTTCATGACGTTATATAACAGCTTGGGAAAAAGACAAAGCGGGAGAAAACAGTAGAGGTCAGGTTATTTGTCTAATTTTTTTACCTTTATGTAAACTGACCTGTGCATTTAAGCTTATGAGTATTCAATGCATTCTATTCAAAAGTATGTGCTATTCTTATTGATCTGTTAACAGTCTATCTTTATTGAGAAGTGTGACTTTGGTAAACTTCCCCATTTCTCCTTATTTCCCCTTCTCTTCTGACGAAAAGTTTTGCAAATATATACATCTACATTGATAAACACTAATACTAATTATCGTGAAAAGTAAATATTTTTCTTTTGATAACTTCCTCTTCAGTTTCTTTAATTGTATACCCACTTCACATAATTAAAGAATAAGTGTCATCAAATTAGAGGTATGTAAGAAAGTGAATAATTATGATCAAATAAACAAATAATCAGAGAATTATTTTCTGGAAAGATGTAAGTGAAAAACCATTTTAAATGTTTGTTTTTAAGTGGTATTCAATAGTTAGTGTTTATTTTGCAATGATTTCTCCTCTGGCATGAATTAGATGTACATTAATAGGCTTCAACGACGCACTTTGAATCATCTTAGACAACATTGTTAAAATAACATTATTATCAGAATGAGAAGACACACAATCACATCTTACTGCGACGAACTCAGAGCGTCTATTTTTTCATTTAAAGACCATCTTAATATGCAGTGGACATACATTTTACAACCTATTTTAAATTCTGGTTATATTTAAAATTGAAAAGAATACAAAATCTGGAAAAGAATGTGGGTGACTGCACTTTAGGCGATGAAGAAATTATTATCTCATAAGTTGTTGCTATTTATCAATAAAATAGTGCTGATCAAATATAGATTTTAATTCTACATTCTCGGAGAAGTGACGCTAAAAAAAGAACTGCTTTGTTAATATTCAAAAACGAAAGAATAACTCACGTTTGTCTGATATGGTGTCCTCCATCTACATGCTCTTCCATATCTGCTAAAGCTTTAACATGTAGTGGAGTATGAGGCAGAGCTGCATGTACCCATGGAAGACAGAAAATGGATAAGATGATGTTAATTAGTGCTAACACAAATAAATCCCAGTGGTTTGATGGTCCTTTTCTAAGTCTTAAAAATCAAAACAAAACACAAAATCACTGTTTAATATTGTGATATTGGGAAATGAATAGGCGATATACTACCAAACAGATTGATTAATTCAGTCTTCTATAACTGAAAACTATATTGTCTATCTTCAGACAACTAAATATAACTTTTATTTTAAGATGGCGGATTTGGGATTTCTGAAAAAAGTTAAATTTGCTTTTGCTCCGTAAGCATTTATTTTGGCCCGTTGTCATGGTGTACAAATTTCTGACAAAAATTCGCTAAGGTTATTAAATATTCAGAATTTTTTCCACAAATTCAATAGGGACGACAGTCAAATGGTGTGTTTGTAAAATAACTTTCGATTGTGATTATTTCTGTCTATTTGCAAGTCAGGCATTCAACTTACTGCTATACTATTTATAGCAGGACACATTCCAGATATTTGTGTGCAATATCTTACGTAATATTTCTGTTTCCTTTATAAAACGAATTATTTCTATAACTCTGTGGTTAAAAATGTGATAGCTTAACTTTGAAAGTTGCAAAACACAGACTAGATACTAGAGAAAAACGACAGACGAAATTCAGAAGTATAAAAATAGGTGCTGATCAGTCATTTTAAATTTTAAATATTCAGATGTGCTTTAGATTTAGTGGGTAAATTTTGTAATTTCCTCAATATTTTTAAATACATGAGGTTTGATGTGAAAGCCATTGTTTCTTGTAAACTGTATACATTTTGAAATGTTTTGTGAGGTTGTGCATCTATAAGTACCATGGTGAAAATAAGGCCTTAATTAGAATTTTATGCTACTTCACGGGTTGTATTCAACACATCTCTTATTTGTTTTGCGTAATAGTAATTCAAAGAATTAAATGTTTATTTTCAGACTCAGTATTCTATACTAGTGTAGACCTTTTTCTGGATTCCATAGCTTGATGATTTTGCCACAGGCCGACACTAGCAAAAAAACCGTTGAAAGCGAAGGGAAAACTGAGGACTACTTTATCCTAGTTAGGAGTTTTGCAGTTATATTTAGCAATGATCCTATCAGAGACTGAACTAAAGAACAAGAGAATCATCAGTAGACCGATCTGTATGGCTCCAGTGGTTAGTGATTTCTATTTGTCGTTACTGCGGTGTATCCATGTTATCATTTATTTATCTAACAGCCGAATCAGTGAACTCCTAGGGGTAGTAAATTATTTGTAAAGTTGCATAATGAATGGACAGAAGTTAAAGTTTTGAACCACTGGATCCAGATATTATACTTGTATGAACATATGCTTGAGTGCTAAATTGATGGTCGTTGCTGTGATAGAAAGTTCCAACAGAAGTAGCAAGCACACACTGCTTTGGTTTTAATGGTTATCTGAATAATGTTCGTTTGCATTTGTTATTGTTAATTTTACCTATAGTCGTCTAAAGTAGCTTCAGGTAAAGTGCAGGTGTCAACGACGGTCCAATATACATATGCTTTAGAAATGATTTTTACCTACAGTCACTAATTTGTACAATTTAGTAATTTAAGTTGTTATTCTCTATATCACGAGGAGAATATGAAGTCTGAAAATATTATACCGCAAACTTCATTTATGACTTAAATCCATTGCGCGATACAACTGTAATTATTCATTTGAGAAATCAAATTAATTTCAAGTGAAGTAAAGAACTAAATGAATTTTTTCTGTAATATTAGAGTTTATCACTTATTATTAGTAAAATACTTTGAGCTCATTTTGATTATCTTTGTGTCTTTTTGAGACTTTGAGGATGCTTGTTACAAATTCTTTACTTAAAATATACAAAATCCATTAACACCAAGTACCACTGGGGATGACGTCTAGACTGATTTTTAAAACTATACTGACGTAACCTTTCTAAAGTCGTATATCAGTTTAGCAACCACGTTTTTGAAGCCCTAAATAAATTATTGATATTTGCTTGTGGTAAAGACAAACTGGTTTCACTACCTATCTATCAAAAGTATTTCTATCTATTATACTACCTCTAAACCTTTTAGGAATTTAGCTACCGAGAACTCCTGATTCTTATCATGCAAATTCAAACCCTCTTGCAAACAGTCTCTTGTGTTATTGATCTGATTAAGTAAGCTGTGTTCTTCGAATGTTCATTTATTTTAGATTTAAGGCCTGCAGCCACTAAGGCGAAATACGTGATTTAAATGACTTTCTTCATAACGTTCCACTAAGTAACTTCAATCTAATTTTATTTCGGTCATGATTTTGTGAGTTAAGCATAGGTGCTCATGTATATATACATATATGCTGTATCTACTCCTGATGCTTTATGTTCAGTATCTTAAGTGAACTAATGTCTCGAGCTTTTAGAATGACTAGGTATCAACGTCGAATGCTGAAGAATGTTTTCATTCGGTCGTACAGTATAAATCTCATAGTTTCCGAATGACATTAATCCCCGACCAAGCTATTATAATTAGAGCCCTGCATGATCACAGGTACCCTCATTCTTAAGACAATTCAGCAGCTTGTAAATTGTTTTGTACACTAAAACAGGCTGAATATTTTCAGTCTCTCTAGCTAGTGCTAAGCAAATGAAACAGCAAATTCATCATTTATGGAGGTCACCCTTAGACGAACTGAAATAGGCATTGTGTAATTCTGTAATTTTACGAATTGGAAATCTGATACGATGTATAGAAGAGTTAATAAGTATGTGGCGTGTACTACCAACAAAAATTAGCAATAGTTTATAGGCGCAGATTTACAGGAAGCAGCCAAAATTGAAAACAATATTTTGAGTCACTGGCTGCAGAACTAGTAGTGTTTATGCCTCAAATCTGGATTCACTTTACACTGTGGTCACGAAACAATCTCATTAGAAGATTTTTCGTCTCAATGGTTAACTTTCAGCAAATCGACGACTAATCTGCATAGTTTATTCTTCGCTGACCCAGCCGACCTTTAATGTGGCTAAACATGTATAAATATGGTGTTCTTTTCCTTAATAAAAAAGTCAGTTACGAAGTCTTTTGTCTTCTGCCGTTACACATATATAAAAAATCATTGCTTCAACATGCTTTTAAAGTTGGCCGGATATGTTTCATACACATGCTTTCAGTTAATAAACTGAAATCAAATGTTTTTCATTTGTGAAATTCCTTACTCTCTATGCTGCAATAACTTGAAACACCTACTAATGACGTTACTGCTTGCAACAATATCTTAGTGACAAAGAATTTCACACTACCAACCTAACCCTATTCCCATCTTACTGTTTATTTGAGATTATGTAGTAACTTCCATAAAAAATAGCCTGTTTGAAAAAAATTGGTGAATGGTTTTCATCACTGACTACTAGAGAGTTAAAAACAATACCAAAATCTTATAAAAAGTTTAAAAAAGTCACATAAAAAATGACGAAAAATATCACCCACCGGTTTGATGGGGAATTCAAAATAGCACTGGCGATGTTTTGTTCCATATAAAATAATAATGATAATGGAATCGCTATACCAATAGATCCAAGTACTGCAGGCCAACTTAAGGAATTTAACGGAGCTTTTTTTAAAATAAAATCAGATGGCTGAACTTCGAATGGCTTCACTGTGAATAAATTATGGAGAAGATAGATTAGATGTACCAAAATCTAAATCAAGAAAACAATACATGTGATATCAAAATATTAATAAAAACGCACTGTTTTAGTGTTGAGGTCAATAATACCGTTAGGCATAATTTAAAATGGTAACAAATGTGGTACGGTAGGCGCATATCTCAACGCATGATCGAGCATTCACAAATATGCATGAAGAGAGCTGAGATTAAAATACCAGAGAGTTCGATAAAAAACATCAAGTGGACTGCGAAAATGGTATTAAAGCTGTCAGTGGATTAGAAGCGAACGAAAAGAAGTTAGGAATAGCAGAGTCTTATTGAATTTCAATTGTTAGATTGTGTCACACGGTAACATGACCTGGAGAAATCACTGAGAATCAGGGAGCACTGGATGGCTGTTTGGTCCTATTTTCCGACTGTTTAGCAGTCAGCATTCGTCACCCCACGAAGAACTGAACTCAGGACCTTTCGGCATCGAAACCAAGTTCGTTAACCAGTCAGTCACTTGGTGCGGAATTCAGTGACCCATGGCAGAGGCTTATGTCATTAGGGTCTATAAACCCGGTCCCAATTTACAGAAAGAAATAGTGCTCACGGAATTTAACCTGATATTACCTTTAACTTTGTCGACTGGTGTAATTACTATCCCGCCTTTTGTACCTAATTGTTTAGTGTAGTGTTTTAAATGAACTGTAAACCACCTTCAATGTTTCACACCCTTTCGACCCTCTACTCATTTGGATATGGAGTGTATGACATTTTCGCCTTTCGTTTTCAGATGACTGATTCACTGTGATTTATCTGTTAGTTACACATCTCCTTCTGTACTTCTTGTAGTATATATATACATTGTGGGTACAGTATTCATCTGAGAAGAACTATGTACCTTCAGTGAATTCACTAAAACTAGTTTTGTTAGCTTTTACTGCTTGTTTTAAATTATTACTGGGTAATAAATGTTTTCGTAGTTTAAAATTCCGACCGTACCCTATTGTGTATGAGGTTTGTGTCTCTTTCAGAATATTTATTTCGGTGTGTCTTATATAATGAATATATCTTAAGAACAGGGAACTTTGGTTACACAAATGCCCCTAGTTAGGAAGTGATTACAAATTATTTTATCTTAATTTTATATTTCGTAACCTGTTATACGAAAGTTTCATGGGCTACATTATAGAAGCTATCACTAGTTGATCATTTGAATTCGTCGTATAAAACTAGTAAATACATTCACACAAATGTGATTTTCGAACATTATAGTTTTTCAACAGAAGCTCAGATTTCATATTAGTTAAGGGAAGACAGTAGTGAAATAGTCATTTTAAATTTAAAGAAAACAATTTTTGTCATTCATTGTTGGATGTCATCATCAGTTATTATCAAAATGCTGTCTGTATTATCCAGAAGTGAAGTGTTTCTTGAACGCAAAATGAGTCTTTCAAATAGCAGTCAGAGTAAGTTAAGTAATTTCAATTAATTTTGTACATATTTTCAAACAATAATGAATAAGTCAGCTTTATCAGTAGATTACCTACTTCATTCTCTTGTATTTCCTGTTTAGTGAATGAGGATGTTTAGTGTTCCATTATTATTAAGTTTTGAAATTTTCTATTTAATGTAAGACGTTTCCAGATATTTTCTCATTTACGTACAAATATGCTTTTTAATTATATGAGGAAACAGAGCTGATACATTTATACACACACTTATAAATGTTTGTATACTATTAACACAAAATTGAATTTTGATGTAGTTTTGTTCTCTGAGCTGGATGGTTTATTTGCGAAGCTTGCATTACTGTACTAGGCAATATCTTTGACATCTGCAATCAGCCACCTGAGCTACAAATCTTCTCTATTATAACAAAATTGAATGGTAGTACAGTAATCTATTTCACACTTAAATTTATATAATGCAGACACCTCACTGACAAACCTATTGACTTTTGGATGGTATCTCAGGCTAGGCTTCCTTTTATTATAAATTTAGTGTAGGTGTTTTGTGATGTATATATTAACTTTAAGTGATAATGTCGTTGCTGTCACCATAGTCATTTCTGTTTTATTGTTTATTGCCTATCTACAATATTCAATTCTACAATATTTCTTTGTTTCAAACTTGAGAAATGAAGAATGGTAGGAGGGCAAATAGAAAAAGTCTGCGGTGTGTGATAATGTACGTTTCCAAAACATATAGTATTTGCAATCTGAAATGAAAAATTAAATACTGGCAACCTTTTATTCACAATAATATCACTTTCGGCTACATTAATAAATATTGTTCTTGCAATTTTTATGGACGCATACGATTCTTCTGGAGCTATCTATAAACTTCTGTATTTCAGATATTCAGGCAGGAAATAAAGTAGCATTGTTTTATAGTGCGAGTTCGGTCTCTCTTTAACAAAAACTTATGGAGGAAATCACTCATTTGAAACCTGATTTCATCCATTTTTTGGTGACTGAGAACAAGGATATGTCATAAAAACGGTGCTCTAGTTGTTGCTTATTTTAATGACTTCTTTCCTTAAACTAAGGACCGACTTCCTCAGATCGAATGAACAAATAAAGTATTGTGCATCGTAAAACGCTTTATGCACGTTATGATGTATAAGATTCAAGTAAACTGCAAACTCCACCGTATTTGTTAGTTCCATCTCTTGGTTGTCTGTATTGCTGGGATCCTGTCTCTTGTCTTTCTGTATTTTGTAAGGAATAAATGCGTCTTATTTTCAAGATTATGTTATTGTTTTGTCTAAAGGAACGTCGTTTAACCTTCATTTTGATACCGCTAACTATTACCATCAAAAGTAATTTCCATTATCACATAAACTGATTAAGGATGAATTTAAATAGAAATATAAGTCACTCTTCACTGAAATTTCAAGTACAGTATAAGACGATGTAATAATAACAGTATTAATAATGAGTGATAACATTAGATGCATACAGAGAATTTAAAAAATATAGCTTTGTAATAACTGACTTAACTGAATAACTTTCACTGTGATGCTTAATAACACTTACATGAGTTTGAAAGAGTCAAGTTCCCACATAGTTTCAACAAAGAGAATCAATAAATATGTGAATATGTTTACTGTGAACAACTGTTCCCATATCATGGGGCTGAGACTTCTCTTCTGAACTAATTTCCTCATAATTTTTTTGTAGGTACACCTTCCACAATGAATATTTACACACTGTATAGTCCTTTAAATTCCTTTACTTTATGGCATTAAGAAATGGGAAACACAGATACACTTAATAATTACTGTAATAGTATTTTGGAGGCACTGCTTTAAGGGTGAATATATAATGAATAATTACAATTTCAAAATGTTATAAGGGAGGTATGGGAGATGAATAAACGTAAAGCCTGCATAAAGCATGATTTAGTGATCCTAGTGTGGTACTCATTTCTAAATACTTTTTTGAAGCTCAGTGTTCATCACTCCACTTTCAGCTTTAACTTTATTTCATATAAATCCTGAAAACGAACAACAAACTATGTGAAAGTTTCATCTCTTATGATATACTGCGTCACAGCATGTGCTTCATTATGTCAGTTAACGGATACGAAATTCCTTTCTACCACACTTACTAAAATTAAATCATCTACATTCACGCCTTTGTAGTGAAATCCTTACAAAAACAGGGCGACTTAAGTATATAAACGTATTTGAAACTATGGGTATTTCCACTCATATCTAAAAAACTAAGTTGACTTTAAGCAATATCATGACAGTAGATATATCTATTGAATAAATTATATTCCTTTTATTTATATGCTAAACTGACTTACATTTGATGTCACCAAAGATAAAAGATCCAACCAGCGACATAGTGATAACTGCGATGGGCAGAGCAAAATCTGTTAACATTTCACGTTTTGTAGCAGTCAGAAATGGTCTGTCAAATAAATGGCAAAAAATATGTCAAAATAAGAATAAACCGAGAAAAATGGGGTTGTCTATTGTAGTGCAGTGAGTTGAATTAGCATTTCAAAAACTCGTATACACTCATTCCTCTACTCTGTTTCAGAAATAATAATTCTGTCTGCTTTATTTGACCTCAGATATGAATGGTTGGTATTGAGCAATTGAAGACCTTCTTCAATGATTAGTTACTATCAGTGCAACGGAGAGTAAATAATGAACAGGATATTTCCATAGCTTTGGTCTGTTGACTATTTCTGAAGAGTATAACTTTCCTGGAAAATTCACCCCTTGATAATTCCTTGTTGCTGTGTAGTTAAAATGTTTGAGGTAATTGGTTGTATTCGCATTCGAATTTTTTTCAGTCGCATTAAACATTCTATCTACTAAAGTAAGTTGAACGCATTCAAAGCTAGAGTACATTTCTAGTTTTTTTCGGCATCTTGAACAGTAGCTGCACTTGTTCGCAGCATGTTTTTGAGAGACAGCTTCGGTGATAAGCGCAATTTGATCAGGCAATTAGCATTCAGCTAAGGAGAAATTTTCTAAGAAGATTGTGTCAAAAAATAAGTCGACGGAATATTTTAAAGGAAGAGGGATAAGCAGAAAAGATCATAAAAGCTAGCATAGCTTACGACAGTTGCAAACATAAACTGGTGAAAGGCCTTTATTTCTGTGTCTAAAAGCGAGGTAATACCCTTATGGAGATTCTATCCAATTACCGTATCACAGCTATTAGGAAGACATTTTTCTCTGGATACTGATCCCACTCCTTCAGTAACTAACCACTGGTTTCCCTTAAAATGGTATTGTTTGAAAGTGAAGCATGGTCGTGTTAACTAAACAAAATCAGGTAGTCCATGAAAGCCCAAGGGGGAATAAAGTTTAAATTAATCTTAAATGCAGTCAACTCATCTCATATTATTATTCATTCTACAGAAGAGAATTTTAGTTTCCCTAACGAACTGCTAGAAAATAGAAACAAAAAGCATATAAGTATAATTTACACAATAATCATATTTATTTAAATACATATTTTACTAAGAACTTGTTGTTTACAGTGTAACTAAATAAACATGTCCTTAGCTAGCCTTATGAATTATTATCAGTTTATTTTTAATTTTCCATTTAAACTATTCCTCTGTTAACTAAGGCTAATCATACTGTTTCTTTTTTGATCAATCAATGTGTATTATGGCTTTGCATTTTACATACAGATATACATAAATGAGAAAAATTATAACTTCAAAAGTGGAGTGCATATAATTATCAGAGTGTAAGCTAAAATTATTGAAGAATTGTTTGTCAGTCAGTTTACGGTATTGTGTTTGAGATAAACCAGAAGAGTATTTTTGACAGGAGAGTATTTAGTGTTGGTTGCAATTGAAAACTAACTGTGTGAGCAATGACTAATAATAAAAACCGTACACAAAAGCTTAGTGAAATAGTCCTATAGTCAATTAGTGGATTCTAATATGTTGTTGCCATTGCTTACAATAATAAAATGCGGCTTAATCACCATGTTATGTGTAGCGACTGTGAACTCCACTTTGTCTGTTAATAAGAGCATCATTTCTTGCTTAAGGTGTCAACAAATTTAGTAGACTTTAATGTGATAATAAATATTTGTATCTTCATAAATATGGTCTGAACAGATTTTGCAGTCACCATAACGTAAAGTCAAACTTTGAATGACTTCTTCCCCTGAAGTTACATATTCTGCACCCGAGAACAGTTCTAAAACACTTTGGATAACTTTAGTATACATAACTGTATAGATATAATTAATTTATTGATAGTAACACCCAAAAGATGGTTAGGAAAATACAGCTGTTCCCACCTAACACTGCTGGAGTGAAACAATGTACCTGAATTAGCATATCAATTTTTCAACATTGCTCTTTTCATTAGTAAACAAAGCTTTATGTGTTTGGAAGGATGGACTATAATTTTGGAAACATTTGTTGGAGTGCAGAAATATCCTCATAAGTTATAAATCAGAATAGGCTATTTCATTTTAGTGTCACCGATAGCCAGTCTATAAACGACGATTTTCACTCTCTAGACTGCTAATCCAGTAGAACCGTTGAAAAATTATTGCCATCAAATATGTAATGTGACACTGATCAATAATACGTATTCAAGGTGAAACACATGATTCTGTGAAAATATTTAGGTTGTTAGCCTGATTTTTTATTTCAAAAATTCGTGATACACCACCGTCAGAAACCATTCTCACCGAAGACTGAATTTGCTGCAAAAATTTAAGAGAAAAGTTTAGGAATTTAATCAGTCACGGGTATCGAATGCCTAATTATCAGTTAAGTGCACACTGAAGATAAGTTACTAAGGTAGGTCATCTGTGCAGTGCTTTCTGAATATTTTTGAAGAAGTATGTTATCAGATCTACTTACTTGTGTGCAATCAAGACAGACTGAGTGTTTTTTTCAGAAGCCACTAGTGATGTAGGCTGTTATGTATCTGCTTTTTTTTATCTTGAAGAGACTTATATCAACATAATACAACGCGTTTCATTATCAAATTTTTATCAGACGTAAAATGTAGAAATACATAACTATACTAAATTACACGAGTGAAGAAAATCTATCCATTTCACTATAAAACATGTCAAGATGGAAGCCCAATTTTCACTTGTTTCGTCTGACAGGTTCAGGTTTATGTGGGCGTTTGTCAGCTAAAATATCCAAAATTATGAACAGAATTAAGAAACTGGCCATGATCGAAGTGAAAATATCATCAGGTAATTGTATAGCTGTACCATCGTTGTTCATCATACTAGAATTTTCCGTCTATTGTATACCTTTTGGGATTCATTTATTCACGCTGACATACTAACAAATACTGTAGTGCCTTTTGAAAAAATAAATTTTGATAAATGTAAACCAGAGAATAATTGTTGTAGAAGTGTTAAGTAATTTTGCAAAAGAGAGAATACAGAATAAATTCTTGGTTGTGAAAATGTAATTATGGAATAGTGTGTGAGAAATGCTTCATGAAATACGTATTTCAGGGTTGATACTCACAATATTAAATTTGTGTTGAAGGTAAATTCACTATGTTCTAGCTTGCATTACTCACCAGGCGAACACAATATATTTAAAATTCCGAATAAAACACTCAGTCTCCAAGAATTGTTGACTAGTGAATCTTCCATTTCCAGGTTCAACGTAGGCCATTAAATTTTATTAATATACATACGCTTTCCTAATAACACACACGTCTTGGAACAGGAGCAATCACTAAGTCGTTTTGCAGCCTCAAAATATAACTTTATGACCTTGCAGACCAACAGTACAGTATTCCTGCAGCCTGATGAATACTCATGTTTCCTCCAAGTGTGAAACAAATGCCACTTTAAGTCACAGGCTTTATCGATAAGTTGTGTTATCAGTATTCACCTGCTGTAAGCTTAGATTATGTATTTAACTTGATTACTCTATGTGAAAGTCACTGCATTCTATGCTCAGTAATAAAGGCTGAGATAAAGGTAGGAATATGGGTTTCCTTTTAGTCATGAAAATGATATGCTGAAGACGCCAACTATTGTGAAATCAATGTCATTTTACAATACACTACAGTGCAGCACCGAATTGATCGGCTTGATTTTCATAATGCACACATAATTAGTAAACTTACAGCAACGCTTAACACGAAACCGTCATATCGACTACCATTCAGTAATCATTCCTCATATAAACTGAATTTTCAATGGTGGGTTTGTCAAGATTGTTGCTATTTTTAGTTAGAAAATCTCTGACAGCAGTGGTTTGCAACACAGTGTCAGACAGTCTTTTTTAAACTTAATTTTATCAACCTTCAGACGCCGTTTTTTTTCTCATATGAAAGGCTTAGTGTCATCTATTATTAACTTATGCATTATTTTAGATCATTTCAAACAGGTTTGATATAGTCATATAATTCTCTCAGAAAAATTATCAGGTGACAATTTACTGATATTTTAAAATGAAAAAGTGGATTTGTAGCCAATGTTTCAAATTGGATCACTAATTAAAGTTAAATAGCCAGAATTATGAAAAAGCCTTAGAAGGAAGAATTTAGGTGGAATTCATGTTAGTGTTTATTTGAGCTAATTTTGTCGTAATCTGTATTCATTATAGGCGGAGGATAATAAAGTCACCTAAGTTTTGAATTTTATTTAACTTTTTGCTATTTAGAAGTATAAGATACAAAGTAAACTCGCCTAAGTAACATAAAGACTTTATAAGAAATGTGCATGTACCAGTTCGGCTGTTCGTGTGTCGGCCATATCCAGCGTTTACTATCCATACGTATCATCGAATAGTTACCCTCATGGTTTTACAAAGGAGAAAAAGATCCTCCAAAGATCTATTCTGGAACACCTGATCAAATCAAAACAGCAAGCAAACCCACAAACTAACTTCAAAGTCATTTGCAGAATACATGGGGATCTTGCTAAAAGGGCACGAATCAAACTTCTTCAAACCTCAGAAGCAATGGTAGTTCACATGTCAAATCCTGAGCTCCGCATACAAATGAAGTCTGTTCAGTCACTGAATCTACAGTGGACCTGACCTATTTTAATACCAAATACGAAATTTTTGTTTCGTCTTTTATAGCTTGTTTTGCTTTCTTCCCTCACCTCTTACTAAATTTCTACTCCTTACCACCACTGTCGTTTACTTGACTTTCGTCAAGTTTTAATTTTAGTTAAGCTCTAATCAACCCCGTCAAACAGATTACGTCACTCGACTTGCTTATTAAATATTATTTTAGTTTCTAACCTATTAAAGAAATATGTTATCTAAAATTTAAAATTCTAATGAAAAGTCTTTCGAAATATTCATCTTGTTGCTAAGTAAATTTACTATAATAATGTGAATATTCAGCTTGAGAATGATATCGCCGAAAAGAGTAACTCTTCACTGAACTCTTTTCATTTATATAAAGTTGGTTACTCAATTCAGCATACAAAAGGTGCGTTAGCATGATCAAATTCGTTTCGAGAATGAAACTGTTCGAATAAGCTGTGGTTAACAATTAGAACTCCTTCTAATTCCATTTCATTTCAAAATGATGCATTGATGAATGATCGATTGGAAATGAAAGTTTGAAAATAGAGATACTCTGAAAGTTGTACCTAAAGACTATATAAAATGCAAACCTTAATACCCAATTTAAGTTGAACACTCATGAGCAAAATCTTACTGATGGAATGATTTCCTAACTAGTGTCTTTGATGCCTATTTTGTGACAATATTTGGTTGAGAACTACACCAGTCGGTAAAAAATTTGAGGAAAGGTTTCAGACATTTGTGTCATTAAATTAAGAAGACGAACTAATTGAGGCGTGGTGTGTAATAACTGAAGAAAAAGCAAATAGTCAGCAACGGTGTTTTCAGTTTCATAATATATTTACAAGGACTTATACCATTTAAAAAACTGTTTGAAAATTGAGATGTTCAGTCATTTGCATAAAATAACCAGTTGCATTTATGTCTGGGAAGTAATATAATGGTTCCTCAATGTTGAACTCACAGGAAGTGTAACAAATTAAGAAGAAATCACAAAAGCAGTTGCTAAACGGAACATGCTTTGAAGGCTTCCAATAAAGCTACACTTATGAAGACAAACTATTGTTGCGTGTTGAATAAATAAAGATGGTCTTCTGATTGATGCAGACTTCAAAATGTACAGATGATGATTAGGTGGGTAACTGAAATTCTTTCATACACTTCACTATGCTACAGAAATATTAAGGTTGAAATAACAATAATGTCTGGCAGTCAAACAAGAATGACATTTTCAGCATTTAGGTGTCTAAACCGTCCTTTTAGCTTGTGGTTGTAGTTCAATATGTGAACTACAAACCCTTTAGAACGTTATACCACATACTGTATAAAGCCGAAAACCGGCCTGATTTTTATAGTGGAATACTTAGTGAAATTAAATGGTTACATTAATTTAAAGGGAAGAACTGTTTACACCTAATTTACCTAACGTAAAGGTTTAGGGAGTCTGATTCGAAGTAGGTGATGTTTATTTTGGAGGTAGAAGTGTTAAGTGTTCTTTAATTCATGATTATAATTCATAATCAACAGAAAATAAAGTGACCCATGTTAAATCCTTGCCGAATGATTTACTGACTTTACTCTGAATGAATAGGTCAAGATAAGATCCAGCCATGCTTGTCGAGCTTCCACCAGCCATTAAGTATCATCAGATATCAAAAGGTAGGTAAGTCTTACAACTAATCTCATCAGATTATGTGCCTTTGCTCACTCTCATTGTTAATGTCCCTCATTCAAAATCTGACTTGTGTAGAGTATCAATACTTTTAATAAATTGTATCTAGAGCTGGACCGGCGAGTTTTCTCACCCATTTATTATATATTTTATTTATTTTTATTTATTATAGCTTGATTCCACACCGTATTTTTGGTACAAGTATGGAATTTTCAGCATGTGATATCGGTAGCCCAATTTTGCAGGCCGACCATAGATATCGGGTGTGCGCCGGCAGGGGATCAAACCCCGGACCATGTGCGTGGTCGGCGAGAGTCCTAACCACTGTGCCACCATAGAATATGGTCTCATTATAAAAAACGTTTTATTAGCTGTGAACATCAATTTATTATTTTAGGAAATCTGTTCGGCAACTTTTAGTCAAAGCCACTGTATTGCCATGAAAACTATCATAGAAAATTTATCTGTTTGTCTAAAACATCGAAAGCGTTATTTTTCCATGAAACTGAATGCTTTCGATGGATATCAAAGAAGCTGATATTTTGAATATATCCGGTGCTGGTTGACACTCATTAGGAAGCTGCATTTGTAAATTTGCTGTCGACTAATTTATCTCAAAATGAATTCCGAACGAGAGCGATACCACTTATGATTACTGAATAGTGTATAAGAATCGGCTATCAGTTCGTCACTAATCATGTAACTTAATGAGCCAGAAAGGTTTGATTTTTCAGTTCGCTGCCATGTAAGGTAAATCATCTCGTCGTGATCTTACAGACTTATAGCCTTGAGTTTCTTGAGTTTCAAACCAGCAAATAAAAACCTATTGAGCTACTCTACATTTTATAAACTGAAAATTTTAGTCGATTATCCAAGTATAACCTCTGTCTTCATTATAGGTGTAAGATAGCGATCTTGCCTAATAGTCTGCTGTTCATAAAATTAAGTTTTACATGTGGTTTATTTAAAAGTTGACAACCAAATAAGCTATTCGCAGACTGTAGAATAAGTTCATTGGCAAGTAATTAAATGTAAAGTTTATTAATCCAGTATCTTTTCTTTCACAGGACCATTTGATAGCATTACTGAACGTCACCAAATTAGCAACAATGAATAAACAGACATTAACTGTTGACCTGTTTATAAATACTTTCGTATTTGAATAAGAGATGAACTGAAATAAAGATTTTGTTCATTAGATGGTTATTTATGCATGCAGCTAAATAACTCAAAAAAGGTAAATACTCACGTCTTAGTAAAGTTTAAAAGATGCAGTGAAATCCAAACTGTACCAAGAAGTAGTATTAGGTAAACTAAAGCAACTTCCCGTTGACATCCAGGTTGGGTAATGATAATAGTCCTGTTTGCCTCTTGTGAGGTTGCAGATGATAACTGGGAGAGTGAAAATGTGGATGCTGTTTGCGTTGTTGATGATGACGATGATAATGATGATACATCAGGACAAATCTCTATAAAAATTCTGTTATTCATATTTGTTAAATTCATATAACTGTTATCGAATCCCTGAGTTTTGAGTGTATCATTGAGTAGTGAATAATATGTGGATGATTTACAATGATAATTCTCTTTAAATGCTGAAATAACAGCAGGAATAAAAGTGAAAAATAAAAGTTATGGTAACGTGAAGCTGTTTACAGATAATATTAAAGCTGGAAAAGGTAATATTTTCAAACATGTATGAAACACACGACATAAATGGCTTGGCATATTGGAGACAAAGATTATAAAATAGAATAATCAAAATGCGAAGAAATGCCTCTTAAATTTACCATAACTCCCAAACATATTTCTTATTTTTCTTATTGAATACCACTTGCCAAATGAGTTACTTTTTTCTATCGATAGTAAATTTCCGTTAACGTTTGATGATATGAACGGCTCTTTTGAATCCCATGTTTATATTAACCATTCAGTTTTTCAGAAAAAAATATTTAACAAGTTAGTTAAATTCAGACAACGGATAATACCACTAAAGAATTGTTGAAAGCCAAAAAGAACTTGGCATTTTTAAAATTGGGATTCGCGAACTCAAAGGAATATCGCACTTAGAGATTATGATGATTTATATGTTTTGTAGAAAAGCCAACACTCATTGTAGCAGTTCTCTTCTTCGACTGATTTATGCTGATATACAGTAAGAAACTAGAAATCACCTAAAATTTATTTCATTCCACGGTGAATATGATATTCCGACGAATGTGAAACGGCTGTTCACTACAGTGAAATATTATACCAAAATTACTATAATATCAGTTTCACTATTTGATTATTAAAATCACAGTTTTTGTTGTGCAACAACAACAACGTCTCTGCGGGCATCTAAATAAAATATAAATCCAGAGAATATGTCATTTCTAAGGCTTCTGTTTTGATTCATTATCTGGGACAAAAATTGGTGCTTACACTTTTGAGGAAACCATTTACTAAAATAGCAAAAGGGTAGCATTTAAAAACATTTTATCGGCAAGATCTATAAAATTTAATCACTTAATTCCTCTCTAACTCGTTTGGGTTTGTCACTAGCTCAAATGTGTTTCGTGCCTTACTTAAGCTCATTACCTTTATGCTATTTGTACTGTCAAGCAGATTGTATAGTTCACTCAATATTTCAGTAGTTAACAAAGTGTTTAGTCAGACCCGGAGTGTTTTGAACTGAACTGGTTCTCTTAGTTGAATCGAAACGGATGCATCAACTGCATCATTCAGAGAAAAGGTTACCCATGGATAGTTAACATAAATGACCGCATCTAACTAATTTTGACGTGATTCATCGTTTACGTCAGTAAGCTTGTTTTAAATTGCAACAGCTAAATGAAGTTGTTTTGTATAATCAAACCTTCATTTATTAGGCTCTGAAGAAGTATGTGATCATGTTTATTAAAGCTTTCTGAAAATCCTCCTCCTGCTAATGAGTGTATTAGTCATAAGAACAAAAAGTAGATTTCAGTCACTTTTTATTAACTTCTCAAAGGCTCTGAAAAAAGAGTCCTGGAGATAAAAGATTCACAGGTGTATATTATGTCAGAGAATTTGTTTACATCTGAATCATAAGACGGAGTTCAGGAAATGCGGTTATGCCGACCACTTGTAATTCATGACACTATTCCTTTTATCAAATGACATTTTTTTGAATGTTTGATTTAATTTTCGAAGATGTCTAATGGAGCTTATATCCTTTTTTGTTTATACCTTTTGATGTTCTGGTGTTGAATAGTAGCAAAAGCCATTTCATTAAATGGTTCATATTAGAACTGTTTTATCGCAGAGCTGTCAGTCGACAAGAGTTAGGCTTAGAATTACTGTTTATCTAACTGCTGATTCTCTTTGAATGTAACTGATAATGATTAAATCTGGGACATATTGTGCTACATTTTTGTACTCGAAGTAATCCAAGTGTTTTCACCTTTGGGTCGTTAAACAGTCTACTAAACGAAGTTGCATCATGTAAAAATAGCTAAATTTACAATGTTAGTCAGTACATTATATCACTGTGCATTCTGAATTTCTAAATAACCTACTTGTATATAAGTCGTTTCCAGCATCATATACAAATGCCATTGAAACAAACATCGCAAATATTTCTTCGGTTGATCTGTTAAAAATAGTAAAGTAGAATTAATACAGGTAGTCAATATTTATGGGACAAGAATGAAACAGTAGCTTCGCATTAAAATATATTTTATAACATAAAAATTGTAAAATAAAACCTTTAGTACAAGTTGATTGGTATCGTATTTGAGTAGTTACAAGTAACGGCTTGAGTGACTTTCTGGTATATATACTAAAAATAAAGTCTTAAAGATTATACCATTAGGAATTAAAATGCTTGCACGGATAAAATAGTCATACTTTACATCCAAGTGTATGGTGAGTTATCAGTTAATTCACAGGTGTTAATCAGCCGCTGTTTCTGTGATTCACCTGCTTATCATGTGACTTTATTCGCTGATTAATATCTTTCGGCAAACGGTTATATGCAGAATAGTGCTAAATCTTTGCATTAATTTACATCAGCACATTCAGGAGTTATAGATTGTATAATGCTGTGGGTCGACAGGTATTTCGAAGGCATATTACTCTTATGCGTTCAGTGAAATAATTGACATTCTTGGGGTCAGTGTCACAAAATATGGATAGTGTTCAGTAGTGTGGAGTTTTGAACTTAAAAGAATCAGTTATTAAGTTGCTTAGTTTTAGATGCTATGTGAGTAATTCATATTCATAATTCACGGGATTCCCTTTGAAATTTATTAACAATAAAATTTTAACCAAATTAAATTAAAAGAATGGTTTTGACTGTACTGCATATTATTCTAGTACCTTATCAAATTCGTCGATAAGTGTCATGAATCACTTCCAGGTATTCATATAGGAGATAGAATATAGTACACTGACACAGTTTTACTACATCTGTTATTCCGCTAACTTGGGTCTTCCTATACATATTTTGTCATACTGAATTGAATATAAATGACTATAACTGAAAACTGACATAGAAAGTTTTCTAATTCAGTATCCATATCCGGAATATCAAGTTTCACGAACTTCATTTGGTAAGCACAAAGAAGTAAGAAAGACATCAATTACTGATTATTAATTCATTACAAAATCTTAGACTGATCAGTAATGTGACACACATAACAAATATCCTAAAGATTTTATATATGTATATACAGGTAGATAAAAAGGATGGACAATTTAATGGCTGCTCACCTTGTGGACCATTTCATCCAGCGACTGAATCCACAAAAGGAATATATAATTAAGAAGAGGCTATTAAATAATCCAATACATGCGTACATTGCATAGAAATTAGTGTTGTATGTTTGAGATATGGTGTAGATAACTAGAACAGAAAAAAAACGAAATATTCACAAAATTAATTGAAAATATGGGTCAGAGGTTGTTCTCACTTAGTAACAAAATAAATCAGTGCATGGGGTAACATTTTATTTGCGTTGTATGTGTGTCAGTGTTTAAATAAAGCGCTTAAATAAGAAAACAAAAGGTTAGTTAATGCGATTGGGATGATAAAGGGTAGGGGAATCCATGTGTACAGGATGGAGGGGCATATCAAAAAAGGTCAGCGTAGTAAGGTATTTATGAATTCGCAGACTCCACAGCAGGTCAGGGCAGTAACAGTGGTTGGACCTGTTTCTTCTGCACACAGAGCAGCGGTTGTTTAATGCGAATTGCAATAGCCCCTGCTGTTTGAAGTATTCGGTACCTGGATGCTTTTGGCAATTTATTTGGACATCTTTAATCAACTAATGTTTTGTTAAGCGATGAATCCTGTTTTTTTCATAACTCAGAATAGTATTTTCGGACTGTTCAGCCTTTTAATTTTTTCAAATTTTTTCTGAACCATTTTCAATTCTTCGTCCTATTGTTTCCAGTCAATTATTTCCAAATAACTATTCATCTTCTAGCTAATTAGTTGTCCACTTCTTCGATTACATAGGATTATTCACTGCTTTGCACACATTATTACTTCTCATACACACTTTTTATTTTGTTAGAAGATGAAATGATGTGAATGTTTGAGATTTGCATGTCTTAAATACCGTATGGACCAGTTTTATTGTATTTGTACATTTGACAGATATACTACTACAGTCATGTCTGAATATCTAAACTGCAACTGCGAGGAATAATATAAACTAAGCTAAAATAGCTGAAACTAATGACCAGAGGTCTAGTACTACAATGTTTTAAGTTATGACACTCCATTTGTGTACTTATCATAGAAACTTTTGAAGTGAAGATGAAGAAGAAGCATACTACCTGAAAACTCCATTTGCATTGTGCTTGTGTGTAGAAGCTGCTTCAAAACTAGCCCAAATAAATTTGAATTAATACACTGTGTAGTAATTCTTCCTCATAATCTTAAACCAGCAACACATTCTATGAGTTATGTGTCGCTTCTATAATGACTAGAAAAGATGAAGTAAAATTTCTTTTGTTATTCTTCTCTAAGGGGGCTGATATAAAGTAATAGTTGACTAATGATTCCAGTTAACATTATTAGAAGACTGACTTCATGCAGAAAATGTGATGCATTTTCTCAGTGAACTTTAGGACAGTCTCATTACAAGTATACTTTCTTGTTCAAATTATGTGAAAGTGAAGTCCAAATAAGCAAAATAATACAATACAATACAACAGTTGGCTCTAGTTTTGTTAGCATAATGCAATAATTATTACAAAGGTAGGTTAAGTGTAACAGTAAACTGTTTTTGTATAGTTTTACGAATCGCTATAGCCTGAGCATAATTCAACAAACATCTCTGATAATAATTTCGATAAATGGCATTCAAAAACTATTAATATGTGATCTAAAGAACAAACTGTTGCACCGCTAACCACAGATTAATCCCCAAAATCATGTTTTAGAGGCCTTTTTGCTCCCAATTAGCGGACACAAAATTATGTTTCCAATCAGGAACTGTGTCTGCAAACTTTATCTAAACTATTTGAAAAAAACGTGCCTGAAGTTATTAGCAGCTGCAGTAAATTATACACTGTATTTTTTTTAACGCGAACAGTTTTACAAATGTTTATTCACATTGCATTGATATGACTGAAGACATTTGGTATTTAACGAAACTCCATTAACTTTCAAAGTATCGTTTTTGTGAATGTAAGAGTAGAATTAGAGAACTGTAAAAGAATATATTTCTATAAACGTATCTAACATTTCTATGTAATATTTTCTTATTGTGATCTATATGTAAATATAAGGATAACATAAACATTGTACTGTCATGAATTTGCAATTGTTAGTTAGTTACTGTGCATTTGGCCTTTTGCACTCGAGAAGTAGAATCAATGTTCTAGGTGTTCTGAATTCGTGTATTGCCTATGCAGGACAAAATGTCTAAAATATTATGTCTCTAAAAACCAAAATTTGTCTGTTCTAATTAAATTATAACGTAATGCTTGCGATTGTGTCACTGTCTCTCAGTTAAATGCAATAATGCGATGTTCACCACTGAAGATGTCAAAATGTAATACATGAAAGAGGAAAGTTTTCAAACAGTCATTCATTCAAATGTTTAGTTGGAGTAAGTTTTAAGTAAATCCTCTATTATTTTCCGGTCAAAAATGTATTCGACAGAGTCGAAAGAATGCGTACATCCGAGTATAGAAATGAGAATGAAAGTTAGATATACTGAGAAAGTAATAAAATAAGATAAAGGTATAAGATATGAGAGAACTAAAGATAATCACTGCTTGCAATGCACTGATTTTCTCGTTCCATTTTTAAATATGGAGACATTACAGAAGTCATTTTTAGTTGAACATTACGAATGCAGAAGTCTAGGTGCTTTTTCCTCCAATAAATATGCTGACTGGTGTCATTAATTATCAGTTACTATCAAGCTAGAGACAAACAACGTATGCACATCTATAAATTAAGTGAACAGCCGTTTCCAAACAGTTATATAAAGTGAATAGTAAACATTAAAAAAAACCTGCCGAAACCACACAAATATATATATAATTTAAATTCATGCAGATTAGATATAATAATTTAACTTGTGCTTACTTTTAATATAAAGTGCTAATGGAGCTGTGGATAAAAGTACAATTAGCGGTTGACCTCCAAAAACTCCATAACATAAACCACCTATTGTTTGTGCCATTATTACACGTGTAACATCTAGAATAATGTCAACAATAAAAAGAAAGTAATGTTATCTGTACGAAGACAATTTTCGATAACCTTACTGAAAATTTCATATTTCTTATATCAAAAGAAAAATAGAAGAGGATAAGACAATATTGTTATATTACAGTTGTATAAACAAATAAATAATCAACTGAGCCCAGTGGAAGGAATGTATCCCCTAATATTCCCTCATTTCTTTATAAGCATTATTTCATTTATATAAGAATGATGACAAAACTTTATTATATTGTATATCACTTTTTTAATTTAGAAAAGCATTTCAATTGTAAAATATTTGAGTTCAGGGCCTAATAGTTTATGTGAAAAGCGTCTGCTGTCGTGGGAGTTTTTACTTACATGACAGCTGATATCTACAAAATAAAACAACAAACCTAAACAAGTATAGAAACTGACCTATGTAGACAGTAGTGTTTATGCATTTACGTATGGATAGTAGAAGAAGTTAGGCGAGATGATTTTATTTTATTCCACTTTCGTTGTTTCAGACTCAAGCAGACTAACTGTTGGTTCACATTAACCTTTTTCGTATAGTTAAACAGTGCCATTAGATAAAATGTATTCTTCTTACTTATCAAACAGTACTGTTTGAGAATGTTTGTTTTTGTTGACTTTATACTTGTGAAAATCCCATAGTTTCGAATGAACTATCATTATAAGTGTATACTTAAAATATCGAAAGTACAACTGGATTCAAGAGGTTTTAGTTTACTCACACTTATATTTTAATAGGGTGTGAATTTTTCGAAAGAGAAATTAGCAAATGAGCTTGAAACTGTTGCTAATACTTTGTTTATGAATAAACGGATATCTATACGCTTGTGTTTTTTTTATAATAATGATTTATGATAATTTCTCAAGCAGTATGATTATTTGCTATTGTTTATCCAAGTTTTTTTTATTTAAATTGTTTAAGGTGTACAGGTTTATAGAAAAGAGATAATTCGTTACTACTACCTATTATATATATATTATATACATATAATTAATTTCCACGCCCTACTTATTCATTCTTTATTCTTATATCATGTCAGTTGTTTGGACCTGTGTATGCATATGTTTTGAGAAGGATGTAAAGTTAATTTTAAATTCACTCTTCCTACAGCTTGAATAAATCATACGTTCTCAATACAAAAAAAAATAATGTAGTGCAATAATGAAAACAAAAAAATGACACCTATCTTAAATAATACACTTTGTAGCAAAACTTTATTTCAAAACGTGTACGACCAATTTATAAATGACTAAATTTTGATGTAGTTGTGCTCTCTGGGTTCGATGGTTTATTTGCGAAGCTTTCATCGCGCCCTACTGGACAACATCTTCGGCATCTTCAATCAGCCACCTGAGATACAAATCTTCTCTATCATATCTGAATGACTAAGTATACTGAAATTTTATTTTCGACGAGTAGTATTCAATCCTAATATTTCTGTTGTCTTTCTTTGTACAGGGTTGCTTTGCGAAACATGTATAGATTTTCCACAGTTTACAGTTTATTAGTTGTAGCTTTCTGTTTTTGTGTGTCGGTGGTATAGTGGTTAGGACGCTCGCCGACCATGCACATGGTTCGGGGTTCGATCCCCGATCGACGCACTCCTTTACCTCGCTGAGTCAGAAATAATGCTGGTAAAGAGGAAAGGTTAGGCATGAGGCTAGCAACCCCATCCTGTAAAATAAACACTGCTACAGAAACTTCAAGCCACTAACTTGAAGCCCTATGTTCCACTGGGGAACGTGAAGGAAAAAAAAGCTTTCTGTTTTGAATAGTGTGTTTCACTTCTGTGCTTTCACTTATTATAATTTATAAGTCTTGGGATCAAAAACTACTTTACTTTTCTGTAGGAAATAAACACGAGTGAAGTACAGTCTTTCACGAAATAAAATTTATTGTTGTGGCCGCTTTCTACTCAGGCTTTACAGAGGTATATGCAAATACAAAAGAGTATACAAAGAAGGAAACTGAAAATTTCTTGGTCCACAAATAGTTGCTGCAAATCGTGCATGCAAACTGGAGACGTTGATACTACCAAAGGCATTATTAAATCAGTGGCGCAGATTTAGCCAACTTTGTCCAACATAATTATAGAAAGCAATACTATTGGCATATGATTTGTCTTTTCCTAGTAATTATCAAACTTGTTCAAATAATGGTTTTTCATATATTGAAAAATATGATTTCTTCAAAGTGGTGACTTTTACGAAAAGTTCAAAAGTTCACGATATGGATGAATTTGAGTAGATTGAAAATCCTCATTGAGTCATATGAATCATACGAATCAGACTTCTTTAAACTGCAGAAGCAATGGCGATTCACTTGCTAAGTCCTGAACTCTGCATACAGAAGAAGTTTGTTCAATCACTACACTTGCAATGGACGTAATCTATCTTATTAGCCGACATGTAAATTCTGCCTAATCTTTTCTTCTGTCTCTTCATTAGTATTATTTTGTCTTCTCAATTGTAACATCTTACATTTTCAACTTTCTTGTTCTCTACCCCCACCCGATTCAATCTCTACATCCCACTACCACTGTTACTGACTTGAACAACGCTCAGTTTCTAGTCATTCATGTTACGTCATCCAACTTATTCACTCAATTTCACTTCTACTTAATCTCTACCTGTAATTACCTCTGTTGCTATCCTGACCTAAGTTGTAATATTTTAGCCAATTATATTACGTCATCTAGTTTTTTAACTCAGTCTTACTTTAGTTGCTGTCTGATTAACTTTGTCTCTATACTACATCATTCTTGTATTAACTAATCAATTATCTAAACTTGACAAACCTCATGTACACACACACACAAATATTTATATATAAATGCGATTTAACAGCTATGTGAATGAATTGACCGAAAAGAGTCTCTTCGCTGAATGTCTTCTCTTTTTCATATGGATGAATTTCACTTACTTCTCAGGGTGTTTTTAACCACTTTTTGTCAATTACAAAAATCTGGCATACAATATTAGAGGAATTATTGTGCCTGATTTTTTGCGCGGTTTGAATCGTTATGAAACTTATCGTTTGAATTACCTTAATTGATTGTTATTGTAAATCTTCGTTTGCTATTGCCTTCTTGCATGTTAGAAAAAGTTATACTTTAGTGACAGACTAATGTCACTCTCTGTAGAGAGCAGGTAAACTTTAGAAGTAAGACCTAACATTTACCTAGGTAATTATTAGATAATAATTCCATGATTATGTGGACAGGATGTGCCACTGATCAAGATGGCGGGGTGGCTTACGACTCACCTCATTTAGCATATCTAGCAGCTGAACTGCACAGGTTTTCCTTGAATCTTTTCTTAGAATATCGACAACTGACTACCATATTCTCAGCAATCACTTTTTATTTATCATAAGTTACACGAAGAAAATAACATGTGATGGTTAAAAAGGTAATCGTTTTATGGAAATACACAGAGTGGTGACTGCGAATAAGCAACTTCTTAAATTTTTAACAAAGTAGGGTTTCATAGTCTTATCGTTGGAAGTTGTATAATTAGGACTGCACTCCTGTGGTTACATATTCGAATTACACATCTACTGTTTATATTGAAAGCCTCTTAAAAATATATTTCATTTTAATAGTAAACAACATAATAATCCTCTTTTTTTCAACATTGGTAACTTGTTTTTGTTTACAACGTAATGAACAAATAGATGTACATATCTTTACAATCTTTCAACTCACTAATTCATCTTTGTTACATTTTGTTGCGAAATTATCTGTGTGTAAGTATGTGTGTGCTTGTTGAGTCAAATTCTTTTGTAAACAAAGTTAAGGACAAAAAGAGTGACAGCGCTGGTAATCATAATAATAACAATCATAATAACAATAAAAAAACAAAAACAGTATAAAAGTAGCAGTCTAATACAAAAGCTATATGCCTCCCGGATCTGAGCTGTGTATAGGTAACACACACGCACGCACACACCAACATGCAAACAGAGTAATTTAATTTACTCAGTGAATAGGATCAAAGTGAGATAAAAGGAAATAAGATGGGAAAGAAGAATACATAGAAGGCATAATTAAAATGTTATTTTCCAGTTTTGAAAATTTATTCGGTAATGCCTCATCACGTGAAATTCAAAAGGTTATTTTGTAGAAATAATGTTAAGGAAATTCCTTGGCTTCATTGATGCACGAAATAAAAACAAATTAATGAATCAATAAGTTGGTTAATGTATTTACTTCTTTAAAAACATTCAGTCCACACTTATCAAGTCACCATGATCATCACTGAGATTATTTTAAAATCTTAGTTTTCAAGGTAAGAGTGATAAGAACTATGGGGGAATGAATAACGTTTGCTGTAACTTTTTTTGGTTTCTCATCTATTGGAAATAGTCTTAGCTTACAGTGAATGTAAGGATGTGTGTTGTGTTCACACTGTTCAAGTTTAGCGTGAGTTGTGTGACATTCATAAAACATATGATTCACTAGAACAGGATTCAAGATCACTAGTAAATCTGTCAATTGATTCTCTCGAAAGTCTTAATGACCTTTGTTGATAACACTCGTTTTTCCCTGTGAAAATTCGATTTCCCACATTGATATAACACATGATAAGTATCAGGGAGCTTAGATAGTTTAGTGAGTTATAAAAAGATTATAGGAATTGGAAGGAAACTAGTTTGAGATTAGATTTCTAAAGGTGGGAAAGATTTCACAGTTCGATAATTCTACCAAGTATGAAACCTAACTCAGACAGCCTATTTCAGGAACTAAGTTTGTAAAAGGATAGAAATAGCTTTCATCAGTAACTGTAGCAATAAATCAACAATTCAAGGTGTCTGATATCATGTTTAATCCAATTCAAAAATTTGTTTTCATGACATATATCAGAGTAGGAATTTATATTGAGTTTAGATCAATCAAGACATTAGAATAAATAAATGATTAGTTGAATTAACAACCTCAGATCACACCAATTGTTGTAATTCGGCTAATAAAGCAGAT